TATATATATATATACACACACACATACACACACCTGTCCCCCTCTCCCAAACTGTTTTAATGCCTTTCCAAGGACAGTCCATCGTTGAACACGATCGCGACGCTCGTTTTTCAAGCCCGAGACGAGGAACCATTTCTGTGTGAAATCGTGAATGAATAGGAACCGCCGTGTCAGATTTACAAGCCCACCATCTCATTTGCTTTCGACAGGCAGCCGGTTGCGAAAAAGACGCACAAAAGTCGATAGAGGCCCCCGTTTCAGAGAGGAGCCTAGACGTTTAGAAGAACGCCTCCGTAAAAAGCCCACGGTTGAATGCCATTTTGAACTTACACCTTGTTCATCAAACCCCTTTTTCCCTGCAGGAAGGGAAACGCCAGGCTTTTGCACAACTTCCACGTTTGTTTGTTTCTGAATGAACACACGCGCAAATATTTCGGAAAATTCTTCCGGAATCAAGTTCGATACACCGTCAAAAAAGAATTATAAATTATTATCGTACCATTTATTATTTAGCTTCCTTAATTTTTCGATCGTCGTGCTGTGAAATATTTTGTTTTTCTTTCTTTATTTATTTATTATATCCTTTAATATTGAACGCATAATATTTTTAGGATCAAGAAAATGTTAAAATATAAATTTCGAATACGAAAGAGAACGCGAAATAAATGTTTAAACGTTTTTTCATAAATAGTTCTTCGTTTTTTCGTCGGTCTTTGAAATTATTCGCGATTTTTCCAATCCTGCCACTTTTTTTTAGCTACCAAGGAATATTTTTTTTATTTCAAGACTGTATTATTTTATATATTCGAATATTTAAAAGGGGGCATTCTATAAGAAAAATTTTAGGTAAAATATTCTAAATTAAGAAATTTTTTTTAATTTTCACTTCGTTATATGTAACCTATTTCTAACCTATCCTCCATTAAAATATAAAAAATTCAATATGAAAAGAAAAGACGATTTCTAAAAAAACTTAAAGCAAAGACGTATTTTTCATAAAAATATATTTTAATTACAAATATAATTTTTTCCAAATATTGGCTTACAAATTTACTTATGTTACATATTACATATAAATGTTTAATCAAAGTATCTTCAATTATTATTTGCTTTATATGCAGTTATATCAGATTTCGTCATCCTTTTTTTTTTCTTTCTTCCTTTCAGATTTGTTTTTACCAGCTACCATTCCCCACTATATCATCCGATATACCTTTATGTCTATTATCTTCTTTCCTTTTGAACCAGTTCCCTACGAAGCTTCTTTTCATTTATACCACATTTACATTTTCTCAAGGATCCTCTTTGAAAAATGAACAATAGAAGGATTTCTTCATTTTCATAATCTTATATACCGCACTAGATCATTTGTAATTCGGTTTATGCTCAAGTATCCTTAACCACGTTTGATATATTATAATCAAGGAGGAAGCGAAAGGTAGGTAATTGTTCTTCCTAATTAATATTCGACTTGTAATCCGTTATCTCTAGATCGATGTATGAATTTATTAACGGATAATTTAACTAATAAAGCGCATTTATTATGAAATTATCACCTAATTTATCTAATCGAGTTTATATACGATATGCATAGTAATAAGTGGTGATAAGTTTTAATATAATTAAGAATTTATTAATTTTTTTATCATACGAGCATACGACACGCTTAACGGAATCCTCGAAAATACTTTCTCGTACGTGGCAATATGAGTATACCGCGAAATACTTTGTTGTTGAAAACTCGTATACGTGTTTATAATATATTTAATTATAATATGTATATATATTTTTACATTTTTACAAAGTATTTTGCAAATATATTTTCGCGTCATTTTTAATTAACTGAAAGTTTTCTTCTATTCCATTTCCACCATATGTGAAAAATTTCATTTCAAAATTTCTTCTCTTCCCCGTTCGAATTTAATCCCGAAAGGAAAGATTAAAAATTATTTTTAAATGAAAACAAATATACTTTACACTTTATTTCTTTTCAAATTTAATCGTGTTCTAAGCTTGCCCACTAACGTTTATTAAAATCGCGCACGAATTAAATGAATATTCGAATGATTAATCTGGTGGAAAAAAAAAAAATAAATAAATAAAAGAAAAACGACTGGTATAACGCAGAGGATATATCATGCATATGGATTTCAATATCGATATCTTTATTAATTTCAACGATCGATTCATATGTTTAATTACGTTATTTCTTAATAAGGGGGACATTCGTCCATTTTATCCCTCCCTCCCTTTCACACCCCTCCTCTCCCGTAATGAAAAATCCTGGATTTATTATTGGCTCAGTGTCCAGCCGCATTTGCGTGTACTCAGTCGAAAGGTCCGAAATCGATATATGCAAAATATTTTGATGCTAACAGATTGAGAGGCGACGTTGCGTTCGATGGAAGATTTATAGAGCCGTTTCGGGCCATAGGTCAACTTTATTGAACTCTGCCCGCTCTTCTCTGCACGAGTACCCTCCGCCACGGGATTTAGAGCAAATATCACGGTATTACTAACGAACAAAATCACGAGATTGCGGGCCACGTGGGTTAAATATTCAATGGCTAAACCAAACTTTTAATTATCTTCTGGAATTGCTTGAACCGTAATTATATACGATTCCATTGCATCTTGCGAAGAAATCCAAGTAAGATCTAAGTAAACATTTTATTTTATTCGAATTTTTGTTCAAATTTTTGTTCAGGTTTTAATATTAATTTAAATTGATTTCCTTTTTCTCGAATCTTTTTATCTTCTGGAGTTGCTTGAATCGTAATTATATCCATCTTGCGAAGAAATAGATCGCTTCTTAGGTAAATATCTTATTTTATTCGAACTTTTGTTCAAATTTTTGTTCAGGTTCCTCATTTTGATATTAATTTAAATTAATCTCCTTTGGATTTTCTCGAATTTTTTTATCTCCTAGAGTTGCTTGAACCGTGATTATATATGATTCCATTGCATTTTGCAAAAAAATAGATCACTCTCCAACAAAACATTTTATTTGAACCTTTGTTCAAATTTTTGTTCAAGTTTCTCGTTTTAATATTAATTTAAATTGATCTCCTTTGATTTTCTCGAATCTTCTGGATCTTCTCAAATCTTGCTTGAATCGTAATTATATACGATTCCATTGCATCTTGCGAAGAAATAGATCGCTCTCCAAATAAATATCTTATTTTATTCGAATTTTTATTCAAATTTTTGTTCAGGTTCCTCGTTTCGATATTAATTTTATTTAAATTGATTTTCCTTTGGATTTTCGTTTAGATCAGATGCGAGCAGATATTTTATTTCCATGCTCTCGCGTAGAATTGAATTTTCTCGAATCTTTTTATCAATATCTATCGGGGGGAAACGTGTCAATTATTCCTCGATCGTGGCGACAATTTACTACGTTATACGTTATACATTTTTCAACAGGGCTCCCATGTTCTTAAGTTGCTCCCTCCTTCCTCATTACTCGAGGAAATACAACAAGGCGATCCTAAGGCGCATTTTTCACGAAGGCAAACGTACTTAGGTTCAACATCGACAAAACGTCCGATCGGTTTTTCTAGTTGCGATGAAAAGCACAACCGCATTTTTCCATTTTCATTCGTATTTAACGTCAACCCTCGTCCCGCATTCTTCGCTCGCAAAGAAAAAAAAAAAAAAGAACGAGATAAAAATCCATTTCTCTCTTTTTATCTAGAAAAATAAAATTCCTCCCCTTTATCTAGAAAAAGAAACGAATAAAATATAGATTTAAAGAGATAGTGAAGAGAGTGAATTTAATTTTGTTGCAGGTAAACTGAGGCATAATTCGGGAAACAATATTTTAGAAGGGAATCAAGATATGTTGAAAGAAAGAGGTAAATAATTATAAGATACAATATCAAAAAGATAAAATTGCTCGATCTTAACAATAAATACAAAAAATATTAATTGTCAGTGATTCTGCATAAATTTTTAATAAAAAAGAGTCCAAAAAACCGATCTTAAAAAAAAATCATTCATCGTATCAAAAATGAATCTCGAAAACTTGAGATTCCAAAGATACTGTTCTCAATCCTGAAAAATTGACGAACTGGAAAAGATCGATCATCGAGTCAAGAACGAATACTTGAAATATCTATCTTAACCCTTAATAATTCGTCAAATCTTTTTCTCCATTTGAAATTCTGTTTTCCATAAATAAAACGAATATATAACGCCAATCCCTTTTTGCAGATCTGAAGTTACGTGGCCGGAAAGAAACGAGCGGAAACGAGGAGGACGATTACGAGGATTCAGGCGCTGCGTCGAGCAACAACTCTTTCAGCTTGATTTTCGTCTTGGCCACATTCTCCATTTATCTCCGCCATCATCACCCTCAGTTAAGAACGTTGCATCCGGCTTGAGGATCGGCCCCCGTGCCGGCCAATCATCATCGGATCCTCCTTTCGATCGCGAGCCATCGAAAATTTGTAAATCCACTTAAAAACCCATCGTCGCTCAGGGACTCTATATTTCGAGGATAAAAATTTTATCGAATCATCATCCACGCTACACTCATCACAATTGTATTATAAAAAGAAAGACATTAATTACTATTACTATTATTATTATCATTATCATTATCATTATCATTATCATTATTATTATTATTATTATTATTATTATTATTATTATTATTATTATTATTATTATTATTATTATTATCACCATTGTCATTGTGTAACGATACTAGCTAAATCGTAAGTATAAAGGAAAAAAAGATAAAAAGAAAAAAAAAAAAAAAGAAAAAGAAACTGTAATTTCGTAGAGTTAAAGATGAAAATAATCGTTTTTCATCATGGCGGACGTTACGTGGCGAGCAATAATATAATAGAAGATCCTTTTCTGGAATTGAATTTAATAGGTGTGCAACGAGAGTCTGGATCATGCTCAAATGGTGAATGATATTTCGAGCTAGTCAATATTGATTTTTATTCGTTGCTTTCGCTCGATCACTTGCGTTTAGATATGTAGTTTAAGAGTAGTTTTATACGTTCACCTTTATTTTTTAATTTAAGAGTATAATAGATACTTTTTTAGTCATATTTCGGTGTTATTTATATTATAGGCATTATTTAATAATTGATGATTGGGTATGATTAATTAATTAATTTATTTCTTTATTTATTTATCATATTCCTTATTTTTTTTATATTTTAAATGGTGCAGAAAGATATCACGAAAAAATGAAGATAATAATAAAGAGGATACAAAGACAGGGATTATGTCTAAAATTTGTAAATTATTTACAAACTTTTTATCAGAATTTTAATAACGTTTAAATATCATCGAAGCCAAACAGGCTTTCTCGAAATAAAAAAAATCATATCATTCGTTCAGGTATATATATATATATATATACATATATATATATTTTTAACTAGACAATATAACTATAACTCACTTTTTTGCTTTTTTTTTTTTATAAAATAGTTACTAATCCTAGTTTTTTTTTTCTCTCATTTTCGTTTCTAGATGAAAAGATCGTTAAGGTATATACATATAGAGATCTAGTTAGAATCGAGTATTATAAATAATAGCGAGCGCTTGATAAATAGCAGCAAGAGCCTCGATGGAAGCCTCCAGTGATTCGTATTCGTACCAATGGAAACGTGTATCGAATGAGTATCGATATGCATTCGGGTACATATACATATATACCATCGACATATATATGTATATTATATATGATTATACATAAAATATATATACTGTATATGTATAGGATATGTATATATAATATGACTATACATAGTACTTTAGATTATAGTGGTATTCAAAGACTGAGAGTATCGTTTCGACGCTCTTGAACTGCATTAATAAATAATGATAATATAAAAATGACGGCTGAATATAACCCGATAAAGATCATGGATCAGTGAAGAATAGAATCCTTTTTTTTTTGTGACATAACGTGTGCAACAAAAATTGTATAACGAGTTTTACGAGTTTTCGAAGTATATATTAAAAATGAAAATTTATCGAGGGGATGTGCTGATTTGGAGGATCATAGTTGAAATCAGAAATTATAGAATTAGAATATAGAGTTTATGTAAATCAGCTCGTTTCGACGCAATGTATTTTCACTATTGATATTTTCACTATGAGATGTGAAATATTTTGTAAAATTTTTTCAAGAAAGGCCTAAGCACCACCACACTTTTCGTTCTATCCAGAAAATTTTTAAAAAACATTTTAAAGATCTTACGAAGCAGATATTTTTAAAATCTAAATTTTTATTTTTACTTGAACAAAAAGATTTCCAAATAATCCTCTAAACTAGTATCATTTCTTTGATACTCGTTGATCGATTGTGAAAAATTAAATAAAATTCTTCGTTTCGTTTTAAAAAACGAAAATTTCTACTGATTCTATCGTTCGAAATTAAATATGAACGATTTCAAAGTATATATACAAGTGCGTTAATAAATTTTTGTAACAAAGTTTCTGTCTGGGAAGATTTAGAAATCTCAGATTGAACAAAGAAAAGTCATTGACTTTTACTATATAGTTTATAAATATATAATACGAGTCGAATGTAAATTAAAACTTATAGGCTTAATTAAATATAGATTTTATTAAAAAAAAAAAAAAAAAAAAAAATGTACGAAGAAAACGTGTGAAAGCTTATATAGATTTTAGAATTGAAAATTTTAATATAAAAATTAATAGATGTACGATATGTTGAAATTGAATACGTATATCGATACGACGATTACTTTATTTTATTGCGGATAATAATTCAGGTAATTTCTTCATTTTTAATTTGCTCATAAATATCGACGAACGTTTGAAAAAATTAGCAATATTTCACTTTCATCGATTCATCAGATTTCTCTTAATATAATATGCAATAACGTTCACTTGATATAAGATCATGCAAAAAAAAAAAAAAAGGAAAAGTTCTTTCAATCGAATTTTCACTGCCTTCTCGACTATAATATTTATGAATCGGATCATCGATTATTTGATGATAACACCAGCTCGTAAATGTAATGTACCTTATTTGAATATTTGAAACAAAGCTGATTATATGCGATTTTTAGAGCATAAATAAAAAGTTAATACCACATGACTGTGAGGCAGGATAAAAAGGATCATAGGTAATGTCACGGACAGTGTAATATTCCGCTTTAGGATCGTTCGCGTATCCATTTTGCAGCGATCGTAAGAAAAAGAGGGAGGAAGAAAAGAGGAAACGAATTTAAAATCATTTTATTATTCAGTGACGTAAGACATATCTATAAGAATTTTTGGAAAACGTGATCGTTTATTTAATATCCTTTGAAAGAATAAATTATATCTATTTTCATTTTTACGGAAGTAATACGATAAAATAAAATCGAGAATATTTGGAATAATAATTTACATTCACAGATATTCGAATATTGTATTCGAATGGAAGGAAATCGTCTTTATAAATTTTTTGTTACAATTTCATTCGATTTATGATATGATTCGTGATAATTTTTTTCCCTTCGTATTATTATTATATTTTAATTAAAATTTTTAAACCTCAAATTTTTCTCGATTCCGTTGGAATATTCGTATATATCGAACCTAGCAAGTGCAACAATAATAGAATTTCGTTGGATCGAAATTCGATAATTTTGAGCGATCTGTTAAAAATAATAATATATATAACAATTACGCGCAGAATACGACATACTTTTATATCATCCGCATTGTAGATACCATTTGTAATCAATGTTGAATGATCGATGTAATTATTGTGATGCGAAAGTGATGCGAGTGTTCGAAAGCGAATTATTTGTATGCTTGTAAGTAGATCCTAACAATAAGTGTAAAACGAAAGATTAAATTCGACGAGAGTATAGAGATGAGAAGAAAGATGTAACGAGTTATACACACAATGTACAGATAGGCTGCATTTTCCTTGCTAAGTAGCGGCGTGACTATATATGCCTCTATACATATAATATTGCTCATGAATATACGCGACTGAGAATAAATACGATTCTTAAATGTATACACACGTTGGAAGAGAAATCGTTAGTCGATATCATCCTATCGTTTTATAATAAATTTGTCTCTGACGAATTTTCTTTGAATTCCAGACGTAATATTCGTCGTTTGGAAATTGGAAAGAATAATTTTAGAAGTATATATAAGATATATATGAGAAAAATGAAATGAAATAACGCCGTTAAATCATTTGTTTTATTATTACTTTTGCAATATGGTTGCGCCATACATCGTGCTTTCGGCACGCAATCTAGTCTTATAAGCACCATTGAGACCAGGAAATTGTCCACTGTCCGTATACACATGAAAATACAAATTTATCACGTACCATTACTTCGAATTTATTTCATTTCCAATGACACATTTAAAAATTATACAGGTATTTCAGACGATATAAGTAAGTATATATAAAAATATATATATTAATTGATATTTTTAAATTTATGCAAAATATATTTTAATTATTCCAAGTGATTTATTTTTAAATATATAAAATTTTAAAAATATTCTTAAAAAGAAATTGAATAATATTGGAATAATATTGGAAGTTAAAACATAAGATCAATGCGTTAGTTTTATTCTGTGATAAAAATTTTAAATTTCATTATATATAAAATATTATAGAATAATAAAAAAAATATTATTATCGACCGCTACAAATATAGAAATTATAAAAATTTATCGTCTTTAAATTAGAGAAAAAAACATAAAAAATTATAAAATTAATAAAATAAATAGTAAAATAATAAGAATAATAATATTTAAATATTTTATATTTTAAAATATTCGATTGAAATTGACAGACGCGTCGATCGACCTTACTCATCAGACAATAGTTACCAGGTGAGAAAAGGTTACATGTTAGCAGTTTCTTTTTGACTTTTATACCATTCAGATGTGTTGAAGCTATACGTGTACAATTTCATGTATAATTTAAAATTACATACGAATTTTATATTAATTACATTTATTCAAAAAAGTTTTAATTATATTTTAACTATGAACGTAGTTAATTTAGTGCGTTTTATTTACCAGTATAAATACACTTCGTTATTAATACAGGTAAATGAAAAATTATTCCAACGTGTAATCTATGAACGATAAGTTAATTTTTGATATGAATTTATTTTTTAAAAATATACAGCAATTATGAATATATTCATTTACAAAACAAAATAGAAGTTTAGAATTTTTCAATTTTTTTGGGATTATTTGTATAATATTAATTTTAAATTATTATTAAAAACATACTATAAATATAAAATTAATAAGTATAAAATTTTTATGCCATTTCCAATATTATTCCATAAAATATTTGAAATAAAATTTTAATAATTTATATTTTCTTTTCTAATATAAATTTGATAAATTTATTATTAGTTTATTCTCGTAAAAATTCAGAATATAATAAATCTGGAATAAAATAAATCGAAATTTTAATATTACTATAAAATTTCAATAATTTTAAATAATAAATATTTAAATATTAATACAAATTAATATTAAAATTAATATTTATTATTTTATAAAAATTCTATAGAAATTAAGTATAAAATTAAATGACTTTAATTAAACTAGTATTTTTATATTGTAAA